CCGAAGCGGCACGCAAAGGTACTGCCATTCATTCAGGCGGAGCCGGCGCCGTGGGGCGGGGCCTCGCGCTGGGGGCGGGGCCAGGGGAAAGGGGCGGAGCGCCATCTCTCTCTGCTCAAACTTAAGACTCGGAGGGAAGCGTTAGGCCAGCCCCTTCGCGGTGTTTGCTTGCAAGGAAGCATTGGAAAGCTGCACAATGAGACCTCCCATAATTCTAGTTTCCTCTTTTTTTACCTCCCAAGTGCCAGGATTTAGAGGGTGCTTTCCGTGATGATTGCGTTCGTCTTGCCAGTAACTCCTCCGGCTAGGCATCCTGTTATTTGTCTCACAGATAAGGAGGCCGAGACTTTTAGAGGTTAAGAAACTTGCCAAATGCAAAGCTAGAATTCCTACTTGGCTTCCTCACGTTAAAGTCCTGAAACTTTTCACTAGACAGACTGCCTCTCCCCCAGTTTTAAAGTAGTACAAATCTCTTAAAACATAGCTACTTTATTGTTTTGTTTTGTTTTGGGATCTCACGATATAGTTTAGGTTGGCCTTGAACTCACGGTGATCCTTCTGCCTCAGGCTCCCCAGTGCTGGGATTAGAGGCATGCGCCATACCTGGCTAGACACTTCATTCCCCACCCCCATAAAATCCTAAGAATGAGCAGAGTTGAAAAAATCTAAGGGGCTGAGTATTTAGCTCAGCGGCAAAGCGCCTGCCTGCCAAGCGCAAGGTCAAGAGTTCGGTTCCCGGTACCGGAGAAAAACCAACCAAAAAAAAAGAAAAAAAAGAAAAAAAAAGAAAATCTATAATCAGGAGCCGGGGATATAGCTCAGTAGCGCAAGGCCTACCTGGCAAGCACAAGGTCCTGAGTTCGATTCCCAGTACAAAAAAAAAAAAGGAAGTCTACTAATAATTGGTTACTTGGGACGCTTGAGCTAGACGATCAGTGGGGAAGGGAAAGGTAACAAAGGAAGCATTTAGCAAAAGTAGATTAAAATTAGCTATAGGAAATAACCTAAAAAGGGTTAAAACAACCTCAGTTGTAGTAAGTATACCAGTCCACTGAGGGATGTTGATAATGGCAGGGCTGTGCAGGGGTGGGGAAGAGAGGTGTACAGGAAACCGCTGTGTTTTCCTCTCACTTTTGCTGAGAGCCTAAAACTGCTCAGCAACTGTCTTTAAAGAAAGAAAGAAATGAAGCACTAATACATGCTAAAGCATGGATGAGCCTTGAAAACACATGTTACATTAAAGAAATCAGTTGCAGGTTGTACTATTATATTTCTCCAAAATATCCACAATAGGCGAATCTAGAGACATGGAAAACAGAGTAGTGGTTGCCTAGGAAAAGGAAGTGGGAAAGGATGGCGGTTGAGTGATGGCTTAGAAGTACAGTTTCTTTGAGGGGCTAAAAGTGTTCTAAAACTGGGGCAAGGGACATACATATAAGCCATTGAATTATACACCTTCAATGAGTGGACTCTCTGGTATACCAATTATATCATCATAAGGCTGTTAAAATTTTTTTGACAAACATCCGTTTCTGAAAGTGATCAAAATTGAAACATGAAAATGTCTGGAACACAGAGACTATCTTACTCATCTTTGTACTTCCTAAAAAAATGTTGAGAAGCTCACACAGACCGTAGCTGGTACTCAATAAATAGTTACTTACATGAATCTGAGTTTTAAAAATAGCTGAAAAGAACCACACAATGAATCAACAGATGCCAGGTCATATCCTGTGGCTGACTGAGGAATCTGCAGAGGTAAGAAGGGATCCCGGTGGGGTGGGGCTAATTAGCAGACAGAGTGCCAGGGAGAAGGCACCATGTGGCTGATCCTCTCACACAGGAAGAACAACCGGGAAGAAGACGACCGGTGAACAGCGCACGGACAGTGTGCAAGGCTACCCTGGCTTTAGAAGCAGCAACATGATTGTTATTCTCTCAAGAAAAAAATGGTGAGATTTTTAAAAGATCAAATTTAAATAGGGTTAGAATAAAGCACCTTGACCCACAGTGTTCTCTTCCACAGAAATAAATACAAGACTAGTAACTGAAAGTGCCTTATTTAAACAAGCCTGATCACAAATTTGATTACCTCATTGTTCATGTACCCCACTTTCCAAGGTAAAAACAAACCTCCAAAGCCAAAACTAAAACACAAGAAACAGATTCTAGTGAATGTATCTTGTAAGTACCTGGCACACTTTTTTAGTGAGGTGTCCTTTCCATCTGCTTCTAGGGAGGAACCTCAGGTACATTTGCAGAAAAGAGTGACTAGGTTCAACTTAGAGATCAGAAGTGGTGGGAGCTGAAGAAAATGGAAAGTTTTTGCATCGGCAAAATGTGACCTTTTTTAAGTTCAGAGCTAGAGTCCCTCTTGCAAAACTGCAGACACGCATTTGCATGAACAAGACTGCACCTTTAAGGAAGGATTTGCAATGGAGCAGACACCAGGTACAGGGGACACTTCTGGGAGAATACCTGCTCTGCTCGCCAAGGGACAGAGTTCCTGGACAAGATGCTGACCCTACTAGGAAACACCTGGGACCTGATCTCCCGACTGTGACCAGCCAATCAGAAAAGAGCAGATTTGTTCCCAACTTGGACTCTAGACTCCCTGAGAAAATTAATGAAACTTTTGATCTCATACTGTTGCTGACTTTCACTCTGTCTCTTTACAAATATGATAAAGCAAGTATGGTATTCATAAACATGGTAAAACAAGTATTTAAATGTAGATGCTTCCAGCATTTCCTCCTTTTCTGAACAGAAGAATATTGTCTTATCCTACTTGGTCTTCTGTCCACATTCCTTTGTTATTATTATTGTTATTTTGTCTTTTTTGTTGAGACAGGGTCTCGCTGTGCAGTTCAGGCTGGCTTTGAGCTCAGTTTGTAGCCCAGGCTGGTCTCAAACTCACAACAATCCTCCTGCCTCAGCCTCCCGAGTGCTGGGATTACAGGCGTGCGCCACTGTGCCCGGCCTGTCTATATTCCTTATCTGTGAGTTTCTAGTCTTCCTAGTCGTTCCAGTTTCTAGACTTTCATAATGAAAATAATCAGAGAAAACAGTGGGAAGAGAAAAAAGATCTGGGGGTGGGGTGGGGAGAAAGGCCTTAGGAAAGGGATTTAGCAAAGGAAGATGATTCATTGAATGTGAACTGAGAAACATGAGAAAAAAAAATGAAAGGAATTCCTAGAGCATATTCAGATGCTCCAGTATTTTCCAACAAATATAGTCCTTTTTTTAAAAAAAAAAAAGTGTTATTATTTGCAGTTGCCTGGTTGTGCTGAAAATAACTCCTTTCAGAGACAGAACCACAAATATACAGATGAACTTTCTGAGTGCCTACCATGGTCCTAAAATGTTTACACCCATTATTTCATTTTATCTGTAAAACCACCCTGTGAGGTGGGTAATATTGTGTCTATTTTATAGATAAGGTGGTGAAAACCTAAGGCGTTCCATGGGTCGCTGAAGTTTCTAAGTATAAGTGAAAAAGCCAAGATCCGAGCCCAGGTTTTCCGACTTCAAGGCCAGTGCCTTTTCCTCCAAGCCTCATCTCCCTGTGTGGCCGTGTCACTCCTCCCTGCACAAAGCGGTGCTCTATTCTCAGCGGACAATCAATAAGTGACATGCTGTTGGCTGGAGCAGTTGTTTCCCCCGCATCTGCTTTCCCCAGAGTTAGCATTATCTGATCACACTAGGGGCTTTATAAAACTCATGTCTGGGCTTTGCTTCAGCCAAAAGAATAATGAATTATACTCAACAAAATGTAGATCCCTTCTAATTGAGGTCGGTTAGCTATTTATCCTGATG